TGGTTACGGGTAGGGACTCTTATGTTATCTATATAATCTTATGATTTAGACCCACTTTCCCTAGTGACACTCGACAAGGATATATGGCATTTCAGCAGTAATACGTAGGTAGGGATTGTAGCTCTACAAAATAGGTAGGGCGCGTATAAATATAAAAAATATGGTTTTGATCTCTTGATCGCAATGAAAACTGGAAATAATGTATGAACAGTTATTTGTAAGAATAATAGGTAGGAACACTTCTGATATTTATATGATTCTATAATTCTGAACCATTTTCTCTCGTGATTTACCGTCTCTTATACCAACTGTACCTTTTCTCCATCTCTCTCTATATGGCATTCTCAGCAGTAATACATAGGTAGGGATTGTAGCTCAACAAAATAGGTAGGGCGCGTATAAATATAAAAAATATGGTTTTGATCTCTTGAACGCAATGAAAACAGGCAATAATGTATGAACAGTGATTTTTGTAAGAATAAAATGTTAGGAACACTTCTGATAGTTATATGATTTTATAATTCTGAACCACTTTCCCTCGTGATTTTCCGTCTCCTATACCAACTTTACCTCCCCTCCATCTCTTATGTCTATATAATCTTAGGATTATGACCTACTTTCCCTAATGACATTCGACAAGGATATATGGAATTTTCAGCAGTAATACATAGGTTGGGATTGTAGCTCAACAAAATAGGTAGGGCGCGTAGAAATATAAAAAGTATGGTTTTAATGTCTTCATCGCAATGAAAACTGGAAATAATGTATGAACATTTATTTGTAAGAATAATAGGTAGGAATATTTCTGATATTTATATGATTCTATAATTCTGAACCATTTTCTCTCGTGATTTACCGTCTCTTATACCAACTTTACCACCCCTCCATCTCTTACAAAACGAAAGGAAAATCGAAATTATTTTGAGATTTACGGGTAGGGACTCTTATGTTATCTATATAATCTTATGATTTAGACCCACTTTCCCTAGTGACACTCGACAAGGATATATGGCATTTCAGCAGTAATACGTAGGTAGGGATTGTAGCTCTACAAAATAGGTAGGGCGCGTATAAATATAAAAAATATGGTTTTGATCTCTTGATCGCAATGAAAACTGGAAATAATGTATGAACATTTATTTGTAAAAATAATAGGTAGGAACACTTCTGATATTTATATGATTCTATAATTCTGAACCATTTTCTCTCGTGATTTACCGTCTCTTATACCAACTGTACCTTTTCTCCATCTCTCTCTATATGGCATTCTCAGCAGTAATACATAGGTAGGGATTGTAGCTCAACAAAATAGGTAGGGCGCGTATAAATATAAAAAATATGGTTTTGATCTCTTAATCGCAATGAAAACTGGAAATAATGTATGAACATTTATTTGTAAGAATAATAGGTAGGAATATTTCTGATATTTATATGATTCTATAATTCTGAACCATTTTCCCTCGTGATTTACCGGCTCTTATACCAACTGTACCTTCCCTCCATCTCTCTCTAAATGGCATTCTCAGCAGTAATACATAGGTAGGAATTGTAGCTCAACAAAATAGGTAGGGCGCGTAGAAATATAAAAAGTATGGTTTTAATCTCTTCATCGCAATGAAAACTGGAAATAATGTATGAACAGTAATTTGTAAGAATAATAGGTAGGAACACTTCTGATATTTATCTGATTCTATAATTCTGAACCATTTTCTCTCGTGATTTACCGTCTCTTATACCAACTGTACCTTTTCTCCATCTCTCTCTATATGGCATTCTCAGCAGTAATACATAGGTAGGGATTGTAGCTCAACAAAATAGGTAGGGCGCATATAAATATTAAAAATATGGTTTTGATCTCTTAAACGCAATGAAAATAGGAAATAATGTATGAACAGTTATTTGTAAGAATAAAATGGTAGGAACACTTCTAATAGTTATATGATTTTATAATTCTGAACCACTTTCCCTCGTGATTTACCGTCTCCTATACCAACTTTACCACCCCTCCATCTCTTACAAAACGAAAGGAAAATCGAAATTATTTTGAGATTTACGGGTAGGGACTCTTATGTTATCTATATAATCTTATGATTTAGACCCACTTTCCCTAGTGACACTCGACAAGGATATATGGCATTTCAGCAGTAATACGTAGGTAGGGATTGTAGCTCTACAAAATAGGTAGGGCGCGTATAAATATAAAAAATATGGTTTTGATCTCTTGATCGCAATGAAAACTGGAAATAATGTATGAACATTTATTTGTAAAAATAATAGGTAGGAACACTTCTGATATTTATATGATTCTATAATTCTGAACCATTTTCTCTCATGATTTACCGTCTCTTATACCAACTGTACCTTTTCTCCATCTCTCTCTATATGGCATTCTCAGCAGTAATACATAGGTAGGGATTGTAGCTCAAAAAAATAGGTAGGGCGCGTATAAATATAAAAAATATGGTTTTGATCTCTTGAACGCAATGAAAACAGGCAATAATGTATGAACAGTTATTTGTAAGAATAAAAGGTTAGGAATATTTCTGATATTTATATGATTCTATAATTCTGAACCACTTTCCCTTGATTTACCGTCTCCTATACCAACTGTACCTCCCCTCCATCTCTCTCTAATTGGATTTTAACCCCTTTTTCCTAATGACATTCGACAAGGATATATGGCATTTTCAGCAGTAATACATAGGTAGGGATTGTAGCTCAACAAAATAGGTAGGGCGCGTAGAAATATAAAAAGTATGGTTTTAATCTCTTCATCGCAATGAAAACTGGAAATAATGTATGAACAGTAATTTGTAAGAATAATAGGTAGGAACACTTCTGATATTTATATGATTCTATAATTCTGAACCATTTTCTCTCGTGATTTACCGTCTCTTATACCAACTGTACCTTTTCTCCATCTCTCTCTATATGGCATTCTCAGCAGTAATACATAGGTAGGGATTGTAGCTCAACAAAATAGGTAGGGCGCGTATAAATATAAAAAATATGGTTTTGATCTCTTGAACGCAATGAAAACAGGCAATAATGTATGAACAGTTATTTGTAAGAATAATAGGTAGGAATATTTCTGATATTTATATGATTCTATAATTCTGAACCATTTTCCCTCGTGATTTACCGGCTCTTATACCAACTGTACCTTCCCTCCATCTCTCTCTAAATGGCATTCTCAGCAGTAATACATAGGTAGGGATTGTAGCTCAACAAAATAGGTAGGGCGCGTAGAAATATAAAAAATATGGTTTTGATCTCTTGAACGCAATGAAAACAGGCAATAATGTATGAACAGTTATTTGTAAGAATAAAATGTTAGGAACACTTCTGATAGTTATATGATTTTATAATTCTGAACCACTTTCCCTCGTGATTTTCCGTCTCCTATACCAACTTTACCTCCCCTCCATCTCTTATGTCTATATAATCTTAGGATTATGACCTACTTTCCCTAATGACATTCGACAAGGATATATGGCATTTTCAGCAGTAATACATAGGTTTGGATTGTAGCTCAACAAAATAGGTAGGGCGCGTATAAATATAAAAAGTATGGTTTTAATGTCTTCATCGCAATGAAAACTGGAAATAATGTATGAACATTTATTTGTAAGAATAATAGGTAGGAATATTTCTGATATTTATATGATTCTATAATTCTGAACCATTTTCTCTCGTGATTTACCGTCTCTTATACCAACTTTACCACCCCTCCATCTCTCACGGGGGGGCGCCCTATATGGAATTCTCAGCAGTAATACATAGGTAGGGATTGTAGCTCAACAAAATAGGTAGGGCGGGTATAAATATAAAAAATATGGTTTTGATCTCTTAATCGCAATGAAAACTGGAAATAATGTATGAACAGTTATTTGTAAGAATAATAGGTAGGAGGACTTCTGATATTGATATGATTTTATAATTCTGAACCACTTTCCCTCGTGATTTACCGTCTCCTATACCAACTATATCTCCCCGCCATCTCTTATAACACGAAATGAAAATCGAAATTATTTTCAGATTTACGGGTAGGGACTTTTATGTTATCTATATAATCTTAGGATTATGACCCACTTTCCCTAGTGACATCCGACAAGGATATATGGCATTCTCAGCAGTAATACATAGGTAGGGATTGTAGCTCAACAAAAGGGGGCGCCGGAGGAGCGGGCCACCCCGGGCACCCACCCCCCCCCAGGCGGTAACTAGGTAGGGCGCGTATAAATATAAAAAGTATGGTTTTGATCTCTTGATCGCAACGAAAACTGGAAATAATGTATGAACAGTTATTTGTAAGAATAATAGGTAGGAAGACTTCTGATATTTATTTGATTTTATGATTCTGAGCCACTTTCCCTCGTGATTTACCGTCTCTTATACCAACTGTACCTCCCCTCCATCTCTCTCTATATGGCATTCTCAGCAGTAATACATAGGTAGGGCGCGTATAAATATAAAAAGTATGGTTTTGATCTCTTGATCGGAATGAAAACTGGAAATAATGTATGCACAGTTATTTGTAAGAATAATAGGTAGGAATACTTCTGATATTTATATGATTCTATAATTCTGAACCATTTTCCCTCGTGATTTACCGTCTCCTATACCAACTTTACCTCCCCTCCATTTCTTATCAAACGAAAGGAAAATCGAAATTATTTTGAGATTTACGGGTAGGGGCTCTTATGTTATCTAAATAATCTTATGATTTTTACCCACTTTCCCTAGTGACACTCGACAAGGATATATGGCATTTTCAGCAGTAATACATAGGTAGGGATTGTAGCTCAACAAAATAGGTACGGTGCGTACAAATGTTAAAAATGTGGTTTTGATCTCTTGATTTTAATGAGAACGGGAAATAAATAATGAATAGTGAGTTATCAACAATATAGGTAGGAATTTCCCACTAGGGACTCTTCTGATATTTATATATATGATTCTGACTCACTTTTCCTCCCATATTATTTCTCTCTTCTAAGCTGAAATGAAAAATGGAATAAATTAATATATTTACGGATAGGGACTGTTATGTAATCGATATAATCTTATGACTCTGACATTTTCCCTCGTGACATACGACAAGATTATGGAATCTTCAACTATAATTTCTTAGTTTGTTTTGATCTCTTGATCGCTATAAAAGCAGGAGTTCATTTTTGGTTTACGATTTCTCAACCTGATTAGTAGGGACGACGACGATACCACCAGATATATTACCCAAATTTTCGTATAATCTTCTATTTATGGACGAATTATATCTACCACAAATGAATGCTAAAATTCTAATAAGCATAGTAGGCTGGGCTCATAATGACATTCGTTTGAATTGTATTCAAGTGACTACGTAAAAATATCAAAAATATAAACACAATATATAAAAATTTAAAAATTCACTGCGAAGTTCAAATTTTTCCATTTTTCCATTGGGGTTCGTATATGTTAAGTATCAAACCGTCCACAAGTAACTATTGGACTATGAACGACTATATAACATGGACATAACACCAAAAATGCATTGTCCCAGGAATAGCCCACAGGAATTATGCAAAGGTTACAAATATAACATATAAAAACGATAAAAATGTATTATAGAATGGTTTTAACAAAACATACCTGGAAGATTTAAGTGAAGAGATTTATTATGATCAAAAGAACACATGAATGCCACTGCATATAATGTAAAGCGATCTTTTGACATGCAATCCAAGCAATCGACAAATATATGCCAAATTCCCAAATATTACTATACAGTTTCACATATATTAAGAATTAATATTACGCAGTCCAGTAACAATCGTGTCGAAATTCCGACTACACCATTAACACCGTGTTCTGAACAGGCTATGTAAAAAGTATTTTGTACATGAATGTTTTGAATGCATTTTACAATTTAACATCTTCAAACTACCAGCTTTAAGTTTGTAGCCCAAGTATCTTAGTTTTCTGGATTATCATCCTGACACACAATCTAAAAAAATACTGATCTAATGAGAACAAGTACAACGTTTATTGGCAAACGATTACAGTTTTTTTTTAGTTTGCATTCTAATACAGAAACGTGCTTTTATGTTTATGTAATATGTATGATTGGCACATAATTTGAAATATTTGATAAGCTACTGTAAAAAAAATCGTACATGCTAGTTAGAAATGACATTAAATAACTACAATTTGGGTCACCTAATTAGTTACATATATAACAAAACATAGCATTTTTATGGAATTTTTGACTGACAGTTACTTACTATATGCTTGCTGAAAAGTATTTGCTTGAAATGCAATATTGGTATGCAATAGATCGTAAGCTGTACTCTGAGCCTTGTCCCTAGACTCTTTTATAAGGCCCTTGAAACCAACAAGTTCAGCCATAGATTACTGAACCCAACCCAATATATAAATGACAATTTATTCTCAAATGACAAATGAAACCGTATATAACGTGTATTTAAGCTGATAACGAAGTGAACACAAGTCATAATTACAACATAAAAAAACACACTCCTGTCTACATTTTCAAACTACGAGAATTGTGAACAACCAAGAAATTTTTGATATTAATACTGAGATAAATAGTTTCTACACTTTGAAGAGCCCGAACTGAAAGGAATTTGGAATATGTCCGAAGAGGGACAATCAATCGTAGAGCTAAAGGAACGTTTAAAAACATTCTGGCTAATTGGTATTTCACTAAATGAATCTAAATTAATGAATATTCGTCTATTATCATTTTGAAATAATATAATAACTTTTTTTGAATATTTAACAAGACAAATAATATTGCTCTGGGACTATCTAATGGAAATGGATGTTTGTTTTGAAATTCTGACTGTTTTTGATTATTATTTTTTATTGAGTATCGGGGCTCCACAACGAACGTTTATTGATGAAAAAATGCTATTGAATAATTTAGTTAAGAATGGATTGAGTAATATCTTCTTTTACTAAGTTTTATCGATTGTCGTATTGTATCTTTTCTTTAACCTATCTACGTGTATACTTTTCACCCATTCTTCTTTCTCCAACACTACGTTAATACCTTTATCCCACTATAGAGACATAATGATATATTATTATAATTTTGACAGTCTTCTGATTTGATTTTCAGTGTATTAACCCAAATATTTATCTATGAATTTTTTTTACTACTCCGCTTGGCTTCAGGAATTGTTTTTCGTAGTCACAATAGTAGTTAACAATAAATATAGCATTATATCATGAATATACCGCTATTTATAATTATAATTTCCTAAGTGCAAATGGATCAACTAAAATCATCTTTAAATTCTGCATTGGGGACAGCTATAAAATTGAACAGATCTGATCTGAGATATGAAATCTGAAGAATTTTTGACAATGTATGGAATATTCGCAAATTCCCTTAATATCTGGATATCATTAGAGTCTACTACACTCGGACTTTAGTACTTTCATTTTTAGTCCAATAATTTGGAATAAAGGGGATATTTGTTTGCCTAGTATAGGATGTCTTTCACAAACATACATACACATGTAATTACTTTGGAATTTAGCTATTTGCTATCAAAGATGATTTATTCTATCATAATCTAAACGGGTAAATGGCAATGCTATGGTAGCAAGAGATTACATTACCAAAACAATAAACTCCAGTCCCAATTGCCATCCAACATTGCATGAAATATTCTGATTATATGTAAATTGCATTGGATTTGGCTTGGATTTTAGATTGCAGTGCAAGGATCATCTTTTATAATGGACTTGCTTTTTTTTCTATTTAACATTCGAGTTAATTTAACACGTAACCAAGAGGATACCCCATGCTTAATGTTTACCTATGATGTAGTTTTTAAATAGAGCACAAATGGAAAGTCATATTTTTTAAATGGTAAACATCCTAAATGAACATAGGCGATAATAACAATGCAAAAATCTTTATCAGACGAGCTACACAATGCACACAAGAAATACGATTTATTTCAATGCCATTGTACTATTTCTTTACATTTCTCAAGCTGAAAGCGAAGACTCCTTTATAAAATCTCTGGCATATGTATCTGTTCTGTATATCTCTGCATCATTGTTTTACAATTAATATTTAGAAATAGTGAATTCTCATGACTGCTTGGCTTGAAATGTATTGACATGATTAGTACTCATTGGACTTAAAGTTGTATTGCCTTTCTGCTCCTCTGATACTTTGTTTAGTGTTCGAAACAAACATCTTTTATGAAACCAATAATGGAACAAAAGCAAAACCATTTTATAATTATATAACAAAGATTTCCTGTATTTTAATGACTTACCAGTATACTCGTATACACTAGATATCAATATGTGAGGTGACGATTGCAACCGGTATATGTAGCTATATATATTTTTTTTTAACAGAACAACGCTTCCGTGCTTGTTGCTTGTTATAGATAAAAAAAGATATTTTGAACATCCACTTCTGTGTAGAATATTACATATATAAATAATATGAGACTTGCATACGCTTTTTCCAACCACAATCTAATCATCTTTACTCTAAGAAGGACCGGAACTAAAAAAAAAGGGTCCAAAGAATATATTTTAAAATCTAATAATTATATTTAAGGACTTAAATGAAAATACTGCGCCAATTTGAACACACTCTACGGTTAATTCAATTTAAACCAATCTGTCCATATTATTTATCACTGAAATACCCTGGCCCTGTTGACAGGGATTCGGACGGTTCTATGAAATTGTGTCATACATGAATAGGGTTTCCGACTTAACATACATATTGCAAAAATGGAAATATTTATAAGACAGTGTTTTATGTTTTATTTAAAGTTTATTTAAACACAAAATCTTTCACCGGTTTGACTACTAATGTTGGGAATGCATCTAATGAAATTCCAATGTGGCAATGAATGAACAATTTGAGTACATTTTGAATATAAACAAATATTAATTTGAAATCTTTATGGTAAATGTGTGTCAGTATGGCAGTTCTGACTGTATCTGACCGTAATTTTTTGTACTGAACTCTCGGTCCCTTGTAACTACTCATAAAAGAAAGGTTCTAAATTTTATATTGTATACTTAATCCAAACTGTGTTGATAGCTTACTTCAATTATATCTACAATAGATACCATCATCGTCAAGTTTTCTGGTTCTTCACGCTGGGCTTAGCATCGCACTGACATAATTATTCTGAAAATAATAATAGTTCTGAATCTCCAATATGAAATCAAAAAGTACATTAGGTTACACCAAATTCGATTTTAAGGAAATTAAGGATACAAATTTGATCAAATTACCACTAAACGTATTAGCCGTCCCTGTCCAATTATATTTTGAATATCTCTGTCAAAAATAGGAACCTCCTGAAAAATTAATGCCTAAACTTAAATAACATTTAACATATATGATAACATATCGGCGATGCTTTAAAAAACAACAAAATATGAAATCCATAATCCATAATTGGTTGAAACCCCATCTACTTTTGGAATCGACCATCAATAAATATCATTATGTCGAATATAACTCAACTAAATAGATCTACTTGTGTCAGATCATATGAATTTAAACAAATTACATTGCAGAAACAATATATCCTAGTTCCATGTGTCCTATATTGTATTCGTTATACTTGTACTTATCATCATGCACCTAATCGCATTTGGGTTTTATTGCATTGCAAGATTTGATAATCTCCAGAAATGTTTGTGCTTTCGATATATTTGTTATTAAATTTTAAGTTTATTTGCACAAAAACATATTGTAACCGAATCTTTCTTGACAATACATTTAGAAAACATTGGAATTAATTGAGTGTATATGAGGAATTAACATCTTTGAGCTTTGAATTTTGAACTGAGCTTCTTAATTTTATACATAGGTTGCTGGTCAAGCATACTACTTCTGGGATTCATGAAAACAAAACCTCACACAAAACTTTCAGAAATGTCATTGCAATATCTAAAATTATTATTGGTGGACCAAATTTATTATATATGAAACTATATTAAAAAAACGTTAATAAATAGTCCTTAAACTACCAATACACCAAATACATGAATATCCGACCGATTTATGTTCATTATTGTGATAAATTTTTTCGCAGTAACTCATTGTATAATCTGCATATTGGCTTACCAAATAGTTACACATGGAACTTAAACGCAATATATTAATGGATTATTTGACTGTCAGTTGCTGTTATCTAAAACTACCAAAATATCCGACAAATTCATTTTGATGATTGTACTTCATTTTCATGCAGATACTAATGAACGATGTGCATACAAATTTTGATGCTTACTGTATGCTTGCTGAAAACTATTTGTTTTAAATGCATTTACTGTTTACTGACCGAGCCTTGTCGTTTGACTCTTTTATAAGCCCTTTGAAACCAACTAGTTCAGTCATAGAATACTGAATCTTAGAGCCTTTGATCATTAACCCAATATATAAATGACAATTTATTCTCAAATGACAAATGAAACCGTATATAACGTGTATTAAGCTGATAACGAAGACAACGCAAGTCATATTTACAACATGTATCTTCCCCGCTTACCGAATTTCATGCGCTTGCCAAAAAAACACTCCTGGTAACGTCTAAATTTTCCAACTACGAGAATTGTGAACAACCAAGAATAACCGGCTGATTGATATTTCATTAACAAAACAGAAATATTACTCTGGAACGTAAAAATGGCTATCTAATGGAAGAGGGTGTTTAGATATTCTGACTGTATCTGATTATTATTTATTATTGAGCATCGAGGCTTCACAACGAACGTTTTTCAAAGACAAAATGTTATTGAATAATTTAATTAAGAATGGATTGAGTAATATCTTCTTTTGCCAAGTTTTATCGAATGTCGTATTGTATCTTTTCTCTAACCTATATACGTGTATACTTTTCACCTATTCTCCTTTCTCAAAAACTACGTTAATACCTTTATCCCACTATCGAGACATAATGCTTTATCATTATCATTTTGATTATTTTCTTATTAAATTTTCTGTGTATTAGTCCAAATATCCAATTTGTCCAATTTATCGCTACTCCGCTGGGTCTTGAGGAATTGTTTTTGGTTGTCATTTCTTTTTACAATATTTATAGCATTATATCCTAAATATACCGCTTAAACTTGGACAAAACTTAACCAATCTGCACAACACAATGTTTTAAATATATCATCTATCAACTAAAATACTTCAGCATAACGAATTTATGTATTTATAATTATAATATCTTAACTGGAAATGGATCAACTAAAATCATCTTTAAATTCATTGGGGAAGCAGTAAAATTGAACAGATCTGATCTGAGATATGAAATATAAAGGATTTTTGACTATGTATGGAATAATCGCAATTTCCCTTTATATCTGGATATCATTTGAGTCTTCTACACTCGGACTTTAATACTGTCATTTAGGAATCTGAAGATGTAGTCCAATAATTTGGAATAATGGGGATATTTGCTTGCCTGTAATATCAAAGAATGCGCAGATAGTTAGGGATGTCTTACACAAACATACATACATATGTAATACTTTGGGATTAGCTATCGAAGATGATTTAATCTATCACAATCTAAGTGGGTAAATGGCTTTGCTATGGTAGTTTGTGAATTTTGTACTTGTACGATTACATTACCAAAACAATAAATTCCACTCCCTTATGTACAATAAATCCTTCCCACATTGCATGATATATTGTAATATTCGACTTGGATTTTAGATTGCAGTGCAAGAATCATCTTTTATATTGGCTTGCTTTTTGGCCAAAAATCATATTTTCTAAATGGTAACCAGCTTTAAAATTGTAATCTAAATATTGAAGAAACATAAATGGAAGCGAATGTAACTCAAATTCAAAACTTAATTTATTTATTGATCTGACTGGTATTATGCAATGCGATAAGCTTTTCAAAAGATCTACACGATGCAGACAACAAAAATGCTCTATTTTACTGTCATTGTACTATTTCATTGCTTCATTTTGTTACAATTGACATTTAGAAATAGTGAAGCCTATTTTCTGCTTGGTTTAAAATGCATTTATTGGTATCCAATGGACCGCAAGTTTTACTCCCTTTCTACTCCTCTGATGCTTTAACCAGGATTTTGACACAAACATATTTTATTAGCTCAAAAATGCCTTGAAGCTAATGCTTATTGAATATTGTGACCGTACAGCAGCAAATAGAATATTAAAATTTTTTATATCGTATTCAACCAATCAGACAAATCTGAAAATAGTAAACTAATAGTACATGAAATATGTAGATTTGTTTAATGGATAATTCGCCAATTTAAATCGAAACTTAAATCCACATCTGCTAAACCTTTTCCCGCTTTAGTCAATCAAGCATACTTAGTACTTCGCATCTGTTTTTAGTCAATTCGCTTTTTTTAAGTTCTTTTAGTATTCTAGGCATTACACTTAATGACTGTGGAAATCTTCTTATGGCTATGTCGAATCCCATTTCAGTTGGTTGAAATCCAACAACATCGAGACAATTTTAATTTCTACTGTTTCTTGATGTTCTATCAAATTTGTTGAATAAATGTATGCGTTTATTATTGATCGCCATATCTACTTCATAAATATAAGAAGATAATTACAACAAGCTAAATACAGACAAATGATTTTGCGATTTGACTCCTTTACGGAGATTTGTGATGCACTTTTTATCTTCTAACTTTTTCGTTGCAAAACTAGCAATAGCTAGCAATCCTTCAAACCACCACCAATATTGTAATCAAAATAAAAGCATCCGAACTTCGGGTGAGGTTATGGATGCATTTTGATCTCTGCACTTATCTCCAAACATGTAAGAGAACCCCTTTTTTTTGTATGGAAACATGCCACCCAAATAACCTCACCCACAAAATGTATGAACAAAGAGAAAAAAATTTCAATAAACACAAAACCACGAAGAGACCAGCCTCACCATGGTTGACGAGAGATGACAGCGAAGAGATGACTCTGGAACTAGCCAACGCCCTGCCATGTGAAAGATCGTGCAACCTGGACAGGATGGCGGAGCAGTCAATATATTTTATAAACACAATTTTAATAAAGCAAATATATTATATTACGAGTATTTGTATTGTAACTAACCTTTTCTGTTGAGATATATTATTTAACAAGTTACAGAAAATGCGTATTTCATCATTCGAGGATCATACAAATTTAGACCGTCAGTCCTTAACAGCCAACAGAAAGCCATTCCAGATCAACAACAAAACTGAGTAAATGATTTACTTTAGTTTTGATGAGGAAAAATTTCAAAGACGAACATCATTTTTGCATCTCAAGAATCTCCAACAAGGATATAGCACAATTTTAGATATAAAAAGATTTAGATTTAGATATTTCATACCAAAATTCAATAAACGAATAAAACACATTTGGAGTATATTTTTAATTAGTTTGTATTTGTATTCGTATTAGCTTAAAAAACAAACCCAAACAAGGTAAGAACACAGTACTCAAAACATTCAATTATTGACGAAATTGCATTACGTTTTTTTTCACACACATGAACTAAATCGACGGCATATTTGCTGCTTGATGCACTCGTTAAAATAGACAATTAAAATGATTTATAAAATCGCTTTGAATATAAAAATCACTTATATCTAATGCTTAGCGTTCACACTCAGGTGGGGCTGCCACGCCCATGCTGGGGCTGGTCCTGGTCGCCCCCAATACACACGTCGATCGACTGCAATAGCCATTACACAGAATTGGATAAAAATTCAAGCGTTGCTTCAACTATTTACAAAAATATGCTGCATGTTATGTTTTGTTTGCCTTTGTTATGTTTTGCTTCGTTTTTTGTTTTTTTTTTTATATTTATTAGTTTTTAGAAACATTCGAATACATTTGTGGAGACCGTTTGGAACATTAATAGCACGTTAAAGTTCTGACAATGACACAAGAAAACAACTAAGTAAGGCTGGAGCTGGAATTGGATCTGGATCTACATTGGGGCGATTGATACTGCGAGAAAACTAGTAACGGGGTAACTTGTATGTCTGGGCGTTGGGATAGTAAAGTGTTTCAGCTTAACAATTGCAAAATAAACCAGTAAAGCGCCAGCCAGCTAGAATGCGTGCACTGGCTGATGGAGACAGGCGGATGGGCGATAAAACTGTTCCTCGACTTGAAATATTACTCAATGTTTCGCTTGATTTATGTGATTTCTGTTTTTACTTGTTTAAAATGCATTCAATATTATTTAATATGCTCGTATTTACTTTTTAAAAGCTGACAACAAATTGAAATGCTTATTTAAAGAGAGGTACACTCAAAAAAATATTCAAGCATCCGCTGACCGGGCACAGCTTCTGCGCTGCTAACTACTGCCGTGCAATCCGGCCGATCATTGTACATTTTGTACATTACGATGTCTGATTTGTCTGGCCATCTCTATAGGGAGTTGTTGCTATTGCCGTTGCCAATGCCGGTTCTGGTTCCGGTCATGATTTTTTTCATCGTGTTCTCCTCTAGTATTTTCCCGCTATGTGTCTTCCACTCTCTGACTGCTGCTCGAGTTTACATTGTTATTTTCGTAATTTTATATAGATGTTTGTTGAATGTATACATATAGTGCTTAGAAAGTAACTCTTATGTTCTGTACGCCCCCACTGTGCCTGCCCTGCCGGTTAATGTCCTAGCGCCCAGGGCATGCTCGCTGTCTACCGAGTGTTTCTGATCGCTTGCCACAATCCTTTTAGCTAACTAGCATTTTTAGTTACATATGTACATACATATGTATACATACTCGTACACCGCGCACCGTTGCTCAATTCTCAATTCGCATAACATTCGCTATTTACATGGAACTCAAAGTTACGCTTCGTAAATTTTGACTAGTTGCCTTGAAGGGTCTCTCCTCTATTTCTCTGCTCTGCTCTGCTTAAGTTCTCCTTACTCGTTAATTGTTTACGCGCTTACTCGTTCGCTTAGGTTTCGGAATTTTGGGCAAATGTTTGCTTCTGTGTACTACTACTTGAAAAGAAAAAATGCTAGTTTTTGAAATCCTTTGGATACAGTTCATCATCATAAATTCCTCCTCCACACGTTCGCTTTAGTAGCTGTTGTTTCCGTTGCTGCTGCATGCTTCTGTTCTTGTGCTTTCATAAGAGATTTGCACAGTTGTTTATTCTAGACCTATATCACCGCTTAATTGTCTTAAACACTCTAATTATTTTAGCATCCCTAGCTGCTGATTCACTTGTCTGTCTTTGTTCTGTTTGGTAGAGTTGTCAGTTGTGTTTTGTGTCTTACAAAGTTAGTTGATTGATTATGAAAGTGGTGTGTGCCTCTACTTATCAAAGTTGCTCGAATTCCTCACAGTTCTTATATGCCTATTATGTATGTATGTATGTATTCCAGTATATATGTATATGTATAGTAGTACTATTATAATGAATCATACAATATATGCGTACTTTGCAAGGTATTAATTATGTTATGAAACCAATGCGATCCTATGCAAAACGTTATTCATTATATATACTCATATGGTATGTATGTACGATTTTGCGTCATTTGTACATAAAAATATATTGTATATGTATGCTACTGCCACCACAGCCACAGCAGCACAACACCTATCTCGAATGAGCCAACATCCCATCCCATCCATTCTTGCTTTGTACATTTCACGAAAACAGTTTTTGTATTTCCTTTGAATGCATTTCATATTTTCCGTATATAGTTTAAAATGTTGCATTCGTTCTGTGATTTGTATGTACTTTTTTTGTAGGAAACATTACGGAAATTATATATAAAAATATGTAAGTGCCACAAAACACACTACGAGATGGCTAAAAAGAAAACAGAACGAAAAAGCTTTTAGCTTGTATTCGTTTAGTTCTGATGTCTGACGTCATTTCTGTGATTCGTTCTCGTTCTCTATGCTGTGTCTTTGCTCTGCTTAATGGATAATCGTACAATAAATAAATAGCTTTTGCTACATACTTGCATTATTAGTTATATGAACCTTGCGCTACTCTTAGTAATAGACGCGTTTTACTAGCCCTAATACAAATATCGCTGATCTAAGGCTTTATTGCAAACCATTTTCCGTTTTCATATTGTGGGTATGTGTGCCCCTTACTATATCGAATTCTTGTTTATTTTAAGCACTTAAAACTAAACAAAAGTGTGTGTTCATCAGTAAAGCAAAAAAAAACAAATACAAATATTTACAGCCAAACCAGCCTGGGAGTCTGGGAGTGGTTCGTTTACGCCTTACACATACTACATGAAATATACAATAAGTCTTAAATGTGTCTTGTATACATGTCGATCATAATGGGATTTGGTTTTTGGGGGTTTTTAGTTAATGCATACGCAGCGCTTTGGCTTGTAATGCTTATGTGCTTATTATGTTGTTGCCAACGCTTGCAACTCAGCTGCGCAGGTAGAGACATTGGAGCGTGGCCATTGTGAGCAGCAGGAGCCAGTTGCCCAGCTGAGCCTCACCTGCACTCGAGCCCGTTTCGCCGCATTTGCCTGTGGATAAGGAAAGACAGTTTCACTAAAGATTCAGCATGATAAAGCGGATATACAACATACCAAAGACTGACAGATTGGCCACCAAATGGTGATCAGGTGGCTTCTGTGTGCCTCGGTAGCAGGCATCGCCTACAACCAGCTTGGCTGAGGTGCCCTCCGTTGGCCGATAGGTCAAACAGACGCCGTGCTTGGTGCCCTTGTGGCGTGCTATGATGAAGAATGTACTATTCTCGCTCCAGGAGCCGTGACAGGAGTACTCTGCAAAAGGGAATCAAAGTCAAATGAGTCAAAGTTCGAATTTTAAATGCTTGTACGCATACCCTCTTCACCCTCCACACTGCACAGCGGACTGACGTCGATCGAGTTCGGTTTACTGCATCCTACCCAAAGCTGGCGCTGGGCATTGTAGTTGGGCACACATCCCGGGACATCGCGCCGATTCCGCGTGGCCACAAATCCCACACTCGTATCGCTGCTGTTAACGTTGCTCAATACTAGCGCCTGCTGCAGCTTCTCGTGCTGTTGCGGCTGCACATCCTGGGGCGCACTGCGTCGACTGCGTACGGGAAGACCGCGGGTATTGGCATGCCATGAGCCACGCTCCATGCGCTCAGCATTCCGAAAGCTGAGCGTGCTGTGTCTGCAATCAAAAAATCGAGTTGTAAAAATGCCAGAGGCAGCAAACTACGGGCTCAGCTTACCCTTTATGACCAAAAGTTCCCGAGTCAGCGCTCTCGTGGTGATGATGTCCGTGTCCCAGGTGCGATTTGCCGTTGTGATTGCGCTTGTGGCGCGTGGCCAAATACGGCGGTCCGATGGCACCGCGCAGGTTGTACAGTCCCTCCATTGGGCAAATCGCCGGTTCCGGATTGCTTGCTACAGGGGAAGATACAGGGGAGGGGGGGTTGAATAACGCTGCAGAAGGCTTGCAGATAGTGGAGTGCATCTCTCTTACCCAGCAAGGTAATGTAGGCCATCTTATTAATATCAAAGTGATCCGGGGCACAGGCGTCCTCCAGGCGAATGGCCGGTTTGCCCGTCTGTATTTCAATGACGTGCGTGTCCCGGCGGTAGAACATCATGCACATGAATCCCGACTGACTATGGGGCGAAACAGATGCAACGGGGAACGGACATTGAAATTGCAGGGACGTGTTGGCTAGCCTCTTGGCAGCATTTTCAATTTGGGCCACTTACCACCCGGTCGTGTAGTGCACCACGGCCATCATTTCGGTTGAAGTCTGTTTATTTATCTGTTCGCAGAGCGCACGTGTCTCCATGTAGCCGTTGGGCTTAATAATGTGCACAGACCCATCACTGAAAAGAAACGGGCAATGGGAATGGGAACAGTTCAGAGATCCGTTTGAAATGGTTTGGGTGACAACTTGGCCGCAGGCCTTTTGGCGCTACTCACTTGGGGTGATAATTGTAGACGGCGTAGCCCATAAGTGCATGCCAATGACGGGGACCCTTGAACCAGGCTGGGAAGTCACAGCGCTCCGCCACCGGCGGTTTTCGCAGAGGACATGATGCGGGAGCCAACCTGTGCGGAAAGGGTGAGCAGAGGGTGTGGCAGTGTGGCATTTGCAGGTAAGTGAAAATGGCAGAATAGGGAACAAAATGGTCTGTGTGTTGTGGGATTGTGTTGGGTTGAAAATGCTTACCTCGGCACTGTCTAAGCCATTGCAAGTGGCGTCGCCGGATTGTGCCAGCTTATACTCGGCATCCTTTGAGCTGAGCATGCTGGGACCGCCTGCAAAGGGTTTTAAAGCTCAAACAAAGTTCATCCTGTTTGCCGGAAGGCAGCTTACCCATCAGCGAGGAGATTTTCTCATAGACAAAGCAGCGATATCGTTCCTCGTTCGAGATGGCATGATGGTGCGAGACCAGACCAACCAAATAGCGTGAGTTGCCATCCTTCCAGGTCGCCAGACACGTCAGCTCCTCAACTGCAGAAGCAGGCGGGCAATGGAACGGAACACGGAACACAGAACAGGGCACGGCAAAGGAAGATGCAAGAATGGAAGAAAGGAAGGAAGGAAGGATGTTCATCTTCAGTTCCAGAAAGATGCGATGAGTCATTGTCATGGCCAGAGACTCACCTGTACTCTCGGTCCCCTGCACATCGGGACAGGCCTGGAAGCTCAGCAGGAGGCGACTCTCCTCCGTGCAGCTCTCAATGTTGGACACTGGCGACTTGCACTCCCCATGGCCCCGGTTGTATGTGAATATGAAGGGTCCTGCAGGCGATAAGTAGAAAGAAAGACGACTCTTAAAATGACCCAAGCCCCATTGGCATGTACATCGTTTGCTTCTACAAGTACTCACCCTTGAGCGGACACTTGACCGGCTCGGCGCTCTCCCGGAAGAGGGAGTAGAGCAGGGCATCGCCCGGAATTTGGTCGCAGAGATTCTGTAAAGTCTCACGGCCCTTGCAAAAGTCTGGGGGACATGATTATTTTAAAAGCACAAATAAAAATTCAATTAATGCAAATCGCAAATGATGTTGTCGTAGACACAGAACACACAGAGATAGGATACAAATAGCAGTAGTAGTAAGGTAGTAAGTAGTAGTAGTAGCAGTATTAGTATTAGTTATAGTATTAGTAGTAGAAAGTAGTAAAGGATTAGTGGGAGCAGAGTATGTAAATTGTAAATTGTAGTAAGTAATAGCAACACATTAAAGAAAGGACAGGGTTAAAGGAAATCAAATCTACAAAGGGCTAAGAGGAATTGTAAAAGATTTATTTTTGTTTGTATTATATATCTTTTGTCTTTTTTTTGTTTGTTTGTTTGTTTGTTGAGTGCCGCACTGGAAGCTGCACAACGCTGGGCTGGGAATCTGTGGTGTCCCAGGGCCATCCATTGCCAAGCATGCCATTTAAATTGCACAGAAATTTGTTTAATTAAGTGGCCGCCGAAGCTGATGGTCCGGGGAGAAGATTGCTTGAATAAATGACGAAATGAAGCCTTAAATCAGCAGAAATGTCGCAAATGGCGAGAGTGACGAGAGAGGCGGGGCATGTTGCGGTCATGGCCCCATACCCAGCCCCAGCTCCAGCTCCATCCCCATCTCCGAGCTCAGCCCAGCTCCAAGCTTCAAGTGCGGCACACAGGAGAAGGCAGAAACAACAACAATTTCTGTGGAAATGTATAAAAAGCAGCGGTAAGTACAATACATAAGTAAGTAAGATAAGTATGTAAGTTCCAGAAAAACACAAACGAACCAAACAAAGTGGGGAACCAGTAAGGAACAACAAACCAAACCAAAGACTTGTGACGTTCACAGAAATAACTTAAAGACAAGAGTTTTTCATTTTCAGCACTTCCTCGAGCTGGGCTGTGCTGGGATCTGGCTGCAGTTGGGAATGCAGAACAGAGACCAGACCCCCAACTTTTGTATTTGTAAACTCAACTGAAAGGCACAACACACGTTTAAAAAATAACCGAAAGCAAAAACACACACATGTGGTTCATCTTCTGGTGCTTCTGGCTCTGGCTCGCCACCGAGCAGAAGTGTGACCAAAAGCAAAGGATGGGGGTAAGGTTTTTTTTTTTTGGGTGGTTTTAGGCAATAAATAACAGGTATAGGTAAGGTAGCAAAGGTAGTAAAATAATGTTAGGGCCTGGCAGAGCCCCATACAATATAAGGTATTTGTTGCTAGAGCAAGCATAACATTTTGAATCAACTAAAAAATAATAACAAACATTTACTCATGATGAATAAATTGAGTAGTCGGGTGTCAGGGTTTTATGGCAAACGCGAAAGATATATATGTGTGGCACATACATATATATGCATATGTTTTCTTTTGGTAAAGGGTCCTCTCTTTTTTTTCTTTTTCATTTTTTTTTTCTTATTTTTTTTTTTTTTGATACTGTTAAGTATTAGAGTTATTTTAAGAGTAATTGTAACTAAAATCCGTTTCGTATGAATATACTTCAATGGATACGGATATACAATATATAATGTACGATATATATACATATACATATATAACACATACAGGCATGGTTCTCAACATTACAAAAATCTTTACAGCTAAAAAGGCACACAACAAACTGTTTTTGTACTGGCGTTTTTTTGTTTAAAAACTTTAAAATTATTGGTATTATGTTCAACTAAAATCGAACAGTTTCAGTTTGTTTCTTTAGTAAAAGTACACAGGCTACAATATAGCAAAATGAAAACTGAAATTAAACAAAAAAAACAGGCACACGCAGAGCAAAAAACAAAAAACGAAGATTGAGAATAAATTACGTATGAAAAAGTACCAATTATGTATGTAATGTGGTGTAAAAGCCAGGATACGCCAGGACTCTGTGTTGTGTACGGTATGTACGTATTCATGTGTGTACGGGTAAGTGTGTGGCGTTTTTGAGTAATGATTGTAATTAAGTAGCAACTACACTTTATGAGTTATACAAAGCATACCGAGTATCAGGGAAACAAAAGGTGTGGGACAGGGCGTGTTGTGTATCATGTGTCTGTGTATATGTGTGTGTGAGTGCTACGGAGAAGCGTTTGTGGCATATAGTAGTATATCATGACAAGGCAAAAAACGACATCACAGACACGAATAAAAAAGAACAGAACATAACAGAAAAGGAGAACAAATTAAACAAATTATATTACTTTGCAGTGGGTTTTTTTTCGGTATTCTCTGGATGTGTGCGGTCGGACCGACCGTTAAGCGCACAGTTATATTAGATAGCCGGGCTAAATTACCGTACAGAGTACAGTAAAGCCCCGAACACACACTAACTAACAAACAAGCAAACACACACACCACACACACCACACACACCACACACACACACACAACACTTAGACACTTAGAACGAACGGAATGAAAAATGAGAGACACACACAGCTAATACGAATACGAGTACATGTACTATATAGAAAGAAGAAGGAAGGAGCACACCGAAGGAAGGAACCAACGAACGAACGAACGAACGACACAATTGTATAATAACTTATGAGTAACCGAGAGCAGAAATTGTTGAGTTTCATGTTAAAATTACATTAATTAAAATTACACACATGTAAGAGAAAAGAGAATGGGGGAAGAACCAAAAGAAATATTTGAAAAACAGAATCATAACCGAAATAAAAAGCAACCGAAGGAAAGTTACAAAAAACTAAAAGACACAAACACGGACACACAGAAAAGGAAACAACAACACAGAATCGGGAACGGAACCCATAGAGCAAATAGTAGTAGTACGAATAGTAGTAAGTAGTAGTAGTAGTAGTAGTAGTAGTAGGTAGTAAAGTAAAGTAGTAGTAGGTTGTTAGGTTAGGTAGAATGTAGTAAGAAGAAAGTACAATAAGTAATTGATAAATGAGACAATTATACTAGCGGTCACCGGGCAGCCCATCCCAACATTTCATCATCATATACAAAGATGTGTACAATATATATTTTTGGGTAAATATATATATATAATCTGTTTTACTTTCATTTTTTTCATTTTCTTTTTCCATTGATGTTTTTTTTTCGTTTGGTTTTTCGATTCGGTTTTCTTATAAGGAGCACAAAATTTAGCTGAAATCCTTTTATTTTTGATATCTTGATATTCACGAAATTGAATTAGAAAAACAAAGTGTGACAGAGAGTAAGTAAAAGTAATGAGCGCATTGCTTTCTATACAAAATGTGTCTCGAATTCGCTTTCATAGGCTCTACAGAAACAAATGAATTTTCCTGTTTTTATTTCAACCTTTTTTTTTGTATGCGAAAACAGAAAACAAAAGCGGGGGAAATGGTGGTAGGATCTGGTGGAATGAGGTTGAGGTTTGTTGGTTGTTGGGGTGCAGTTTGGGGGGGAGGCGGACAACTGAAGGAAACTTAACAAACCGTTAAACGAAATTTTAAAGGCATTCTTCGAAATGGAATGGGCATTGGGGTTGTACAATACGATTTCCAAGAGCTGGCAGACTTGATCTGATTAGGAAAAGGAAATGCAAAGAATTATTCCGCAAAACATTATCATACAATAATAAGGATTTACAAACCGTTCGCTCGGATCACAATGGATTTTCAAGTTTAAAGTTTCGAGTGAAAAATATAATGGGAAAACTTATCGATAGGGGGGATATATTACAAGTGTATTTATGTACATATTCTTCATGCACGGCTACCAATCTTGGAAATCCTACTTTCAGCTTCGTCGGGAGCCGAAGATCGAGTGTTTTTGTTTTTAGTTTTTTTTTTTTTTTTTTTTCTTCGCTCGCTCATGGTTTTACTGTACAAAGTTGATGATGATTTTTTGTTAGCAGTGGATTAATATAAACATTAATAATCATAATCATGTACAAATACAAAGAGTTATATATAATATATCAAAAAACAAAATCAAAGCGTCTCAATCGGTGACAACGAACAGTATCTCAAAGTAAACTCAAAATCAAATCAATCGGTAGTAAATATGTATGTAAGTATGTATGTACCAACAAACAAACAAACACAATTAAATATCTGTACAAGAGAATATTTGGATGGAGACCTTTATTTACAGCGTTTTGTGTTCTTGTCATTGTTCGAGTAATACTCGTAGTGCTCCTATGTACTTCCTAATCAAATGTTGTTCTATTGTTCCCGCTGCTGCGCTGCAGTATGAGTAGCTGCCATCAATAATGTTGATTGCCTGATATTGCTCTATAAGCATTGGTTCCTCCTATCGGAATTGATGCAGCGGTTCTACGAGTAATAGTTACAGGTAATGCTCCCCCAATAAAATGTGGTTTATGCTCCTCTCTACACTCCCCAATAAGTCGGGCAAGGGCCGGGGGCCGGGCCCACAGACACGCAACGGGACACGGGACGGTACAGGGGCACGTGGCGGGACAATGGCAGATAAGTGAGTAGAGCATAAAAATAATAAATAAGTATCAACAAAACCCCAGGAACCTAACCGTAACAAAACAAGGCATACAAATTAAGATGAATGGGGTTTATGGCACGACTTTTATATGCACATACATATATACTTGTACATATATAGATACTTGTATACATATACTTATACTTTTGATAGTATATCAACCAAATTGACAATGGAAATCCGGGTAGAGAGCGGAAAACAACCAAATAAATAGAACAGAATAGGACGGAACCGAATTGGCCAGGAACAACGGAGCGACAACAAATTAATAGAACAAACGAGACCGAGGAATGGGAACGAGAACGGCGGTAACGGTAACGGGAACGACGACAACGAGCAAAAAATGAATGAGCACACATAAAATATTGCATAAATAAATGAAATGAATTGAAATGAAAATGGCAATGTGAAAATATATATATATGTATGTATGTACGTACACCCAACACGGTCAACAAAAACAAGAATTGGTAACACCGAAGATAGGCCTTTCCAGAGCAAGGGAAAACACTCGAAATTGGCTGACACCCCGGGCGCCACTGACGCCACAGC